GAGAGCGGTGCAGCAGAAACTCTCGATCAGACAGTGCCCCGCTCCTCCTGTCCTAGCAATGGCCTTGCCACTGTTCCCTCCATACGACAGTCCTTTGGCGTTGTCAAGGCTACTGACCTCATGCACCTGAACGTGATCTTCCCACCAAAGCAGACAGATCCGCTGCGTCTGCCGAACTGCGTGTCTCTGGGTCAGGGAGTTACCGAGGCTCTAAACCAAGCCGGCCCGCTACCGCGTCTCTACGAGCCGAGTAAAGAGGCATTGGAGAACAACTTTGACAGCCTGCCACTCGGCGGCTGCATTGAGGACAGTACGATGGCTTCACAGACCACGCGTTTCTCTCTTATCGGTCATCGAGTGGTAGAACCTGCGCGCAAATCTATAGGCTGTGGACAGTCGCCAGACAGCTCCCAGTCTCCTATTAACCTTAGCTGTAGAAACGAGCCTACTCCGAGTTCTTCCTCGTCCAATCGGAATGCAGACAGCTTTGAGGGCTGGTTCCCTGACCCATCCGAGTTGATGAGTTCGTTCGATGCAACGAATCAGCGGTCACCGCTGTCTTACATGACAGTTGAGTGTCCTTCGTCTCCCTCTGGTGGACTTAGTGCATTGAAGGTACTTTAATGCTTTTCTGTTTTACGTCGCATTCTGGCCTGCAAATTAGATGTCCTGTATCCTACACCATTTTTTCTCCTGCCGTTGCTACTGTTTATTCAATTATGCCCTGCCCGTTAAACTTATCTGCTACCCATGCCGTCATCGAGATGTTCGTAGGGTAACTGGGAGTTACCTCATAGAACACTTGCTGTCATTTCCGTTGATAAGTAGTTAGGATCTGAGTAATGATGGATGAACCAAGTGACTGTTTTTAGCATAGCCAACGTTGATGACCTCAATTTGACATGGTGGGAATTTGTTACTTGCTAGCCAACCTATGCGCTGGACTCTTGTGTCTACGCTACATGTCCATTGCATCATACCTGGTGTCCGGTCGTGTCTGTGGACTCCGACTTGTCACTGATACATAGAAAGCACGTAAATGCATTGCCAGTGCATACATTTTCACGAAAATGCTGACGCACCAAAGGTCGTAGATCATAGCTTTACCTGACGCTGTAATAACTTGGTCCTTCTCCGAAATCAGCGCGATGTCGCAATGTCACCCCTGTTAAAATACCGATGGACATTTTTCATCTGATTCTTTTGTGCCTGCGCGCCCACCTTAATGCGTTTCGTCTCTGCCTTTGAATTGAAACATGCTGGGTGCGGAAAGAGTGGGGTAGGGAGGCTACTGAAAATCTCAAGTACGCTCTCGGAGCTGAAGGCAATGTTTAACAGTTGATTGCCTTCACACAATCTGCTCCGGCAACGGTCTTGACTCACACAGAACCTAGCCAAGATTTTGTGCAGGTCTTTGCCCATTTGAGCGAGTTCAGAGAGTTTATTAGCCTTTGTTTGCATGAGTGATTCGCTTCATCTTCTTTTTTCATTTGGAATCACCCATGCATAAGGACATTTTGCTAATCCCACATTGACTTCCTGAGATCTAGAGCAGCAGATGCAACACAAGTAAAATGCGTTTCTTTTAATGATTGTCATTAGTGGTTTTATTTGGATGTTGTTCCGATGTGTCGCACATGGAAAAGTCCATGGCCATTAACAACTATGTTTCGCAACACCACGGAGTTCCATGGCTTGCCAGTTTTTGACCATTTGAAGGAACCGTTTGCCGTATAACCGCAATGCAGCTGCTGCGCGCCAGCAAATGTAAGTTGCTACTCTAATTATATTCCCTAATCTCACTGTTAGCACAGAGATGACAGCTACTGTCTGTTAGCGCTACCAGTGCACGCGTGGTAGTGCGCGATCATGTCAATATTCCTTATCTGCCGTTGAAAACGCGTGTGTTTTTGTACTTTTCCTGTGTTTTAGCCCGCTCCTCCCTGTCCGCTTGTGAACAGGCCGGTATCCTGTTACAACCCCCTGCGTTCCCACGACAGCCCCGTTACCCTGCCACCAAATCCAGGCGAAATAGCGGATTCCAACTACGGCCAACAGAGTTATCTTCCGCCCTCGGTGCGTCAGCCCGCTATCAGTCCCGAGCGCAAGATCTCGCAGGACGGCAACTACCGGTTTGATTGGCCATATCCGTCTCAACCACTCTATCATCGCGCTTTCCCTCCTTCTGGCGTCTCG